AGTCAACTCAAGTCTTTTTTTACAACAGGTGCTGTCACAAAGCAGCTTTACAGAAAAATCCGGGTCCGAGCCCCCATGAGCGTCACCAATGGCGACAGTGGCAAGGAATACCTCCCTTAGAGCAAGAGGAAGAAAGCTTGAGAGGAACCAAGACTCAAAAGGGGAACCCATCCTCCTCTGGTCGACACCGGATAGCAAATAACAACAGAGAATGAGATTCAATCATTAGTATAACAAGTTGATAGACTATGGATAAAACCTGCAAACTATTAAAAGCATAATAAATAGTAATAAAACCTATTACTCATATGGCTGTTTTAATCAAAAAATCTTTCTTTTGGGGCAAATAAGATCAAATTCGACAAATGTGATTGATAGTGATTAACGACACTAAATAATCGCAATTATTTAAACTGTTTGGCAGCCCTAGAAAAAATACTCACAAGAAACTCACTAAACTTTTTTGACAAATTATACTGAATACATTTTAAGAAGTACTTACTCAGGGGTCCCATGGTTTGGGGACCCTTAGCAACTGCTTATATACTATGAAACAGCCCTGATCACAAGCAATCGTGTCCCATGCTTAACTAAACAACAAAGTGGCCCTGTATCTGACCCTGATGCTGTAGCAGAAATACTATTGTGTTTCGAGTACAGGAGCCAATTTCTCTGACAATCATAAAACATCACTCACGGAAACCTACCACGTCCCTTAAGCCCGGCTTGCTTCTGTTTGCTCATTTGTCCGAGTGTATTGAATTTACGGAGCAGGGATGCTCTCTGGGAGGATATTTGATCATTTAAGCACTCATAACTTTGGCAGCGAGACCCAACGAGAGCGATACGACCCCAAACAGGATGGTGACAAGGAAGGGACAAACAATTTGATGTTAGAAGGTCTCGTTTCTTATTTCCTGCTGTGTAAATGTGGGCCATTCAGAGCCGCTGTTAATGAAGGCTTCCAGATAGACACGTGACCTGTCTAGAGCACAGCGAGGAACATCATCTCCTTTAAATAGATTCACCTTACAAGACTTGGGCTCTCTTGTGCCAAAAAAAAAAGAGAGAGAAACGAATATGCGCAAGTGATATCATGCCATGTTAGCTCTGCTGATACAAGTCTGTAGCAAGGCAGCATTGTGGTCAGAGAAAGCACTCTGTGGAAGCTAGTATTAGCTTTCTCTTTACTGCATACATTTAAAGCTTTCCATCTTTTCTTGTGTACAAGTATACAAAGGTCCGTCTTCCAGCAGACCTCGGCAAGAAGGCATAGGGCCATTACCACACAGGACCTGTGATGAATGACCCTTAATAAAAGTGCAGAGAAAAATGGAATGCCATCAATATCCATTTTATATGTTCAAAGCTTGGCTCGGTTTCAAAAAACAGAAGAGGAACTTTGGAGGAGCCATAAGGCTGCATTGATGCGCTGCTTGAGTATCTTCAAACAGCGCTTCCGTAAAGACGAGGGCTCAGTTCTTTTGGCACGGTTTCACACTGAATTCCCCCGACAGCATCTTGTATTCGTTTGTGAACTGATCTCCAATTTGCAACGAAACGGTGCCACCTGGATAAGTGCAATGTGAAGCTGCGAAGCTTTTGTAAGGACTCTGACAAGCCCAGCTTGAACCATCATTTATACACGTTCAGTTTGACAATGTTCCCAAGATGTTCCCTAACAAGTCTCAGACGCTACATTGTACCGATCAGGTCTGTGACAGAAAACGACAGTCCCTGTTCGAGAGTAATGAAGAACACACTTCGCACCTTGGAAGCCACTTGTAACACAAGAAATCGCAGCTTCTCAGGGGACCTGCTTGGGATCTGAAGACACAGCAAAGACGATATTTACATTTTTCATGTACCACAGTTTGTACCTTTTCTTTTCTGAGTCTAGCTGGCGAGTTATTCAATAGGTGTGCAACACAACATTGTGCACACTGTAACACTACATTCGGGACCACATTATGTAACATTTTCCTCAATTTTGAGATAAATGCTTATGGTTTCAAAACAAATCACTCACTTTCCTGCCCATATGATCCACATATGTCCTGCAAAAACAGCCTGTTTTGCATGAATTGATTTTGTGATACAATGAAAACCAACATATTGACACATATCCACCCATTCAGCTCACAGCAGTTTAGCCCTGCCCATTAACACTGAAGGTATAAGAGTGTTTCAGCCTGGGCTGCTTTTTGACTGCACAGCCAATGAGAACAGGGAACATCTACATGTATTTACATATAGACACAGTAACAAATCAGCCTGTTTAATTCTAAGGTATTAATACAGGTTGAAAATGGTCTTGAAATAGATTTTGACTGTTTACACAAACCCACATAAATCCCAAATGTCATATGTGCACATTATGAACCAAATAAATACAAGAAGAATGTAGGATATGGCCATGTTAATGACACTGGATATGGGTACAGTTCACAACATCTTTGTAACAACACTGGTGCACTTCAGTCACTGACCAGTCCAGATGATCTGGACATGAAGTGGAATCAGTCAAAGATAGGGAAGAGACTCCAAACAGAAGTCATTTACTTTTAATGCATCCAGTGAGGTGAGATTTATTGCTGGTTCTTTTGCCAGACATGGAGAGCTCTACTAATCAGACCATGCCGAATCCACCATTGGACAAATCATAACAACAAAGGGTAAGACTTCTCATGGACACAAGACCAGAGCTATCAAAGAACAGTTAGCAGTCAAAACATTTAGGGTAGGATGTTCTAAATACCCAACTTCATAGAGTACGACAGTCTACAGTATCCGCTGTCTTACTGTCCAGCCTGACCAGAATGCAGAGACAAATTTCTGTGTCTAATGTTCTTCACGATCTACACTGTTCGTAGACAGTCAAGGTCTTTACCTGCTCATTCAAGGTCTTCAACTCTTCTAGGAAGGCAGTAGGTGTTGGAACATTGCTGTGAGGATTTTTGGACATGCAGTGTCATAAATAGTGCTTGCTAACACGATCCTACATTCAAGACTGCTGTTCTCTCCAAATCATGCATATTTTTTTTTTCTAAATAACTGTTAACACAGCTAAAATGTACTTCTCCAACAGCTGGTTTGGCTCTGTGAACTAGCTCAATGAGAGAGCTGCCTTTCAAGACGTCACTTAAACACTGTACCAAAGTGATTCAGTTAAATATTAAGCGAAAGATGGGGGATACAGTTTTGACGGCGGCACATCTGTTGATATGCATATCAAAGGCAAGCCATGAATGCTGTTGACAACTTCCAGTACTATCGCGGCGTAAGACGCCAATTCGGAAAAACGACAGATTCCACCATCATCAAAGGGCTGCCAAAGTGCCTCATATGTTGAAGGCAGTTTTGAAACATGTTCTTGATGGAGCTGCAAAAAGGCAAGACAGTGAGAGAGCAAAAAAATGGGGCATGCGCTCCCATAGGAGCACATGGATCTTGCAAACAGTCTGCCCTTAGATTTAATTAGATTGTAAGATTCCAGCCTCCTTTCCTCGCCGTGATCCTGTGCTTTTCAGCCCATGCAAAATTGCAGGCCATTGGCTATTCTTTATTTGCTCGTTTGGCTATTGTATGCGCTCTTATAGGGAATAAAAAGCTCATTAAGAGGTGACCGCTGCTCAGCGTGACGTGGAGCTCCTCAGCTTTTGCCTCGACCCCACCCCCCAAACCTCAGCCTTCGCACATCATTGACTGATGTGGGCTGAGAAGGTATGGATTTTTTTTTTTTTCATTGACTGTCAGTGCAGAGAGGCAAAATGAGATCTGTTTGTTAATGAGCACCCACTGCAGAGCTGGGGGTGGGATTCCCACAGATTCATAGGCAAGTTTTGCGAAAGGGCGTAAAGAAGGCCATCAGATGCTTATTAAGAAAACAAGCATTTCAGAGCTCATGGGAGATCATCCTAACTGATCCCCACTAGCTTAAGTCAACGCTACCCCATATTACCAACTCCTATAATATACCATGCCTGAGAGTGGACAAGGTGATGGTCACATATCAAAATATCATTTAGTATCCAAATTGGCACCGACACCACTGGGCTATATACAGAATGTGGTTACCATGGTGAAAGAGAACAATAACTAGATCTGGCATTAGAGGCTTTTTCAAAAGTACATTAGAAAAAAATGAACATTATCTCCTACACACACAGTCCTTGAAAACCTTCGCTTGCATAATCAGACATGCGATCTTTTCAACAACTATCAGGAACCTCGGCAGAGCTCGGGTTATACCGCGTTGCCAAGGGAACTTGTTTTGAATTCAAAGAGATTTTGAGTCAGAAATACCAACACTGTAACCACAAAGCACTTCCACAGGCGGCTATTCATCCTCTTATTGCGAAACACTTTCGCTTGCAAATCAGAGTGGACAACCATGGGAGCTGGAAAGCGTCGCTATAAAAGGGATATCATCGCCATCACATCAGAGTCAGAAGGGAATAATAAAAAGTACATCTTGGCATGAAAACTTAAGAGCAGGCTGCATGTGTGTGGGAAGAATCTCAGATATCACACCTTTAAACGCACTGATAAGTACAAGGGGTTGGGATGGGTGGGCTCTGGGGGGTAAGCAGGACTTTCTAGCTTTTGAATACATAAGGCAGCTCCAATAAATACGGCGTTGAAACCTTTTGTGAGGTGAGAATATTTAGTTTAGTTAGAGTAAGCTGTGCATTACTCATCTAAAAAGCAGAAATTGGATTGCTTCTACGAGGCTTATGGGATTACACACTGGAGTTGTCATCCTTGCGAAATACCCAGGTACTCTGTGTTGGGGGGGGGTGAATTAAGCTGGAATGTCTGAAATGAGTAATTGATAAGGCCATTACAGCTGGAGAGGAACAACATTTGAAAAATGAGCAAATTTCCAGCAGGGCTGAAGGGGGACGGTGCACTGACACGACACAAAATCACTCCAGCCTGTTGTAAGACACGTTAATGCACAGCAGCATCTCCTGCACAACCGTGGGGGGAGTACTTACAAGCATGGGTGACTGAGAAGCTGTTGGACGACTCGAGGTTATCTACGTTGTAATTCAGATGGAAGGGCTTCTCGGTCATGTTTTGGTTGGTGTTGTAGAGCTGCACGGCGAACCTGAAGGCGCTGTGCTCCTGCACCGTCGACCGCATGAAGAGCCCACCTTGGAGGAGGACAGGAGAGGGAGATGAAACATCTCAGCAATGTAACACACTGTATCTAGGTTGCTGCAACCAATGGCACTTTGCAATGACAAGTCCAAGCCTTGCTGATTTGATTAGAACTTTGCACCGGCAAGTTGGTGCCAATCCTCCTTATTCCAAAGCCCAGTAAAGACCCCACCGAGTCCTTACAGAAACAGACTGACGGTCTAATCACAGCAAGAGTTGAAACGTGGGAACGACTAAGAAACGAGCCCGTGAAAGCAGGCGAAGCTTAGCAATCGATAACGATAACGAAACAAAAAGACTTACCTATGTTAATCTGGTTGGGGAAGCCTGCGAGGGATCTGCCAAAGAGCCACATTAGAAACAGAACCGCGCTTTGTGCCATTTTCGTCCAACCTTTCAAAAAAAAATCAGCCCCTAAACGACGAACCGGTGGAGGAAAATCATAAACGCAGTCTTGGGCGCTAAAAAACAGCCCAAATCCTCCAGATCACCGCGCTGCGCTCACAGTGCACCAGTCGGGCTCATTGAGCTGCGAGTCGAGCTGCAGGACAGGAGCGAAAAAAAAATGTTCAGCAACTGAGAAAGAAAAAGGGAGCGACTTATCCCAAAGATGGTGGTTATTGGCGAGAGCGGCGAACACGGCTCCTCCAATTGGACCAGCAGCGCGATATTGATCAAACTTGAACTGACGTTGAATAGAGAGGAGGAAGAAGAGGAGGAAGGAGAAGAAGGAGCAGAAGGAGAGCTTCTCTACGCGTCTGACTCCAGCAGAGCCCCTCTGCAAGGCGCGGGGAGCCCACTGCGTCGTCTGCCAGCGCTCAGATCGATAGCCGCGCTGATGATTATGGCTAAATAAGCAAAGGAATCGCCGAAGAAGTTCATTGGGCGAGGGGAGCACGTGCAATCTCTCTGATTAAAGCCCCGTGCGCCTGTGCTCGTGCAGATAGATAGCCCAAAGTGCGGGACGCGGTGCCTCAGCCAGCTGACGGGGAATGAGCCCCCCCCGACCCCGTCGGATGTGGAGAAGTGAGGCTGCAGTAACGTGAAGCCCCTTTTATTGACCACCATCGATCGCTTTGTTCGGAATCGTTAAGCCCCCCCAGCACAGCACCATATTGGCTGGCTATTGGACAAACAGTACGGCAGGGAGGGGTGGCGGTGGTGGTGGAAGTGGTGGAGGTGGTGGTGGTGGTGGTGGGGTTTATCTTGGTAATAAAATAACAATCATGGTAACAGCAGCGGGGACTGTGTTATTAAAGGCAGACTGGACTGGCTCGCCTTTTCAGACAGTGCCCACAGAGGCGTAGGCTATTGTCCTGACCCGAGATAGCCTCCCCGCACTATAAATATCTGTTTTTATTCACGATTTGAGGAGCGATGGGCTCCACGTTGACGTGCGGACGAGGAGCGCTGTCCATGGTGCTGAAATAACAGTTGCGTTGGTTGGACGGTTTGATTTGAGCTCTCTCGAGCAAAACTTCACCAAACCCTTTTATTTAGTTTTTTATTTTTTCCTTCTTCCAGACAGCAGTTTCGAGTCTCTTTCCTTCCTGTTTTCTTTATTTATTCGAACAGCCACCTATAGGCGATCCACTGTGCACTGCAGGCGAACGGTAGAACAATTCAGGGATTACAGCTCCCGTTTATCACGCTCCGCAAAGCTCTCCCTAAAATTGAGTTTTTAATTGCATTGCAAATGGGGGAAGACTTCAGCTATTGATACTGTAATGGGCTCGTGCCCCTCAGCGCAGCTGTGCGGAGAGAAACTTCATCGCAACTTCTTCTCAACTGCGGTTCAAAGATCAGTGGCAAATGTGCTCGCGGTAATGAGTTACAAAGACAGATATGCCATTTGAATCTGGTCCTCACTGCCCCGCCTGTGGCTCGCGCTCACCGAGCCTCACAGTAAGACTGTCAATTAAGGATCAGCTTCCTTTGTAGTACGTGCTGGCTAAGAGTGTGCATTTGAATGTGAGGGCAGTTCAGTAATCTTACTGTGAACATTTTTATATAGAGTTGGATTGGAAGCCATGCACTGCAAAACCTGATGAGTTAAGTCAGCTCAAATGATTCGAGGAAACTGATTACCTCAAATGGTTTAAGTTCAGTAACTCAGCTACACCGATCAGGCATAACATTATGACCACCTCCTTGTTTCTACACTCATTGTCCATTTTATCAGCTCCACTTACTATATAGGTGCACTTTGTAGTTCTACAGTTACAGACTGTAGTCCATCTGTTTCTCTGATACTTTGTTAGCCCCCTTTTACCCTGTTCTTCAGTGGTCAGGACCCCCATGGACCCTCACAGAGCAGGTACTATTTGGGTGGTGGATCATTCTCAGCACTGCAGTAACACTGATGTGGTGGTGGTGTGTTAGTGTGTGTTGAGTGGATCAGACACAGCAGCGCTGCTGGAGTTTTTAAACACTGTGTCCACTCACTGTCCACTCTATTAGACACTCCTACCTTGTCAGTCCACCTTGTAGATGTAAAGTCAGAGACGACAGCTCATCTGCTGCTGCACAGTTTGTGTTGGTCATCCTCTAGTCCTTCATCAGTGGTCACAGGACGCTGCCCACAGGACGCTGTTTGCTGGATATTTTTGGTTGGTGGACTATTCTCAGTCCAGCAGTGACACTGAGGTGTTTAAAAACTCCAGCAGCACTGCTGTGTCTGATCCACTCAGACCAGCGCAACACACACTAACAAACCACCACCACGTCAGTGTCACTGCAGTGCTGAGAATGATCCACCACCCAAATAGTACCTGCTCTGTGAGGGTCCATGGGGGTCCTGACCACTGAAGAACAGGGTAAAAGGGGGCTAACAAAGTATCAGAGAAACAGATGGACTACAGTCTGTAACTGTAGAACTACAAAGTGCACCTATATAGTAAGTGGAGCTGATAAAATGGACAGTGAGCCTAGAAACAAGGAGGTGGTCATAATGTTATGCCTGATCGGTGTATAATGGGTGAAAAAAGATATATATGTTAAGATATATATTAAAGTTTGTAGCGCTAAACCTTTATTAAAAAGCAAAACTCCAGACATCCCTTGATACTATCTATCAAAAATAAAATGTTGCCAATTATACAGTAATAAAATGCAAGTTTAGCTGATTCCTAATAATAATATAAGACCATTAAAAGTGTTTATTGTGCATTATTGCCATTAATAATGCAACTGTCAGTGATTTTCACATAACCAACCTCCAAGGACATACTGATACAGATCATAATGAATAAAGCTTAATGCATATAGAAGTGTCTAATTTGGGCCTTATTGAACAAATAATAACACCCAAATATATGTTGCTTAAAATAAAGTGTTATTGAAATTCAGCCATTTGAACGATAATTTTCAAATGAAAAAAGCCTCCCAAAAAAACGAGGCTTTGACAGCAACGACATAGAAAAATGCATTTCCATTAATGCGTTAAAACATGATAATTGCAAGCGTGAACCTAACCACAGTGACCCACTCAATAGAAAAACATGTACTCTTTGGCTCATGTGATGCATTTTAATGCAGCAGTTGCTCATTAACACCTATGCCTCCCAGATTGAAACCTAGAGCCGGTTGTGCTCAGTCAGTTTTGTTAATTCTGCTCATTTGCAAAATTCGACAGAAGCATCATATGACAAACGGCATCAAATTCCCCCAATGTGTGACTTGATATCTTGCAGTGAGGGCTGTCTTTCAGGGGTCAAAGGGTCACTACAGAACACTCACCTCCATATGCGTCCCTGGAGCCTCAGCTCTGAAAACAGAGCATCTAAATGAGGTCTGAGTACATATGTGATGCAGATGGAATGGCAGTGAAAACGCTATTAAAAAATCTACTCAAGAGTGTGAATTGTGTGGTGTGTGTGCTGATCTCTTCATCAGGAGGAAGCAGTAGGTCATGCATGCAGCATTGATTAGGAGTCAAAGGGTCAAGAGGATAAACCAACTGTCCGAGGACAGACAAAAGCATACAGACCAAAGGATAGACTGATAATGTAAGACCAATAAACAGTATCACTCCTAGAAGAGGTTTTGTTGACAAGGATTGAGCCTGTCTTGGACTAAATTCACCATCGAAAATCCTATTTAGTTGATGCTTAAACCTAATCCGGGTCTGAGAAATGATATGGATATGGATATTAAATAGAAAGTGACACCTTATTTTAAACAAATAAGCTTTTTTTGGATTGTATTAGTTTTGTATTGTTAACGTCAATATAAAGAGCAGAAAATGTTCATATTAATTAAAGCTAGAGCCCGTTATCTTATGCAAATGGGGTAATGCTATTTGTATTCACTAGATTTCATTTACTGTTAGGACACAGAATCAGCCAATCATCATGTAGTATCCAGACTATGAGGTATGCAGCGTCACACCTTGACACAATCAAGAGTGCGTTGACTTGTCCTTCCATTAATGCTGTTTTTTTTAACCCCTTTAAATGGCCAGGGCTCAATGGCGAGCCCAAAGTTTTATTATACGCATCTATAACCTAAGAATAGCTCAACCAGTTTGCATTTAAGTCGCTGTAATTACTGAAAAATAAGCCTTAGTGTGTAATAAGCCTGGGATTTGAAGGGATTAACGTTTTTCACACTGCAAACTACCAAATTCTTTCATTTATACACGGCACATGTTCACACCAGCATGAGGCCTGACAAGAATCAATAAGCCTGAGACAATATTGCAAGCCCTGGCAATTTAAGGGGTAAAAGACATACGATCAATGCTTGTTTATTAACTATTTTAAAATCGGCACAGAGCATTTAAAGTTGTATTCTAGAGAAGAACTCAATAAATGGCTTCTGTACAAATAGTTCGTACTAAAGCCTGAGTAGACTGATAAATCAATGTGATTAGCCAGTAGGTAATCTGAGCTCAGCTAAAGTCTGAGAGTTTCAGTTTGCACTGATAATAATAAGCCTTGGTGTGTAATAAGCCTGGGATTTTGAGGGATAAACCTTTTTCACACTGCAAATTACCAAATGTTTTCATTTACACATGGCACATGTTCACACCAGCATGAGGCCTGACAAGAATCAATAAGCCTGAAACAATATTGTGGCATTTTCCTTTACAATATTCAAGAAACAATGGTTTACTTAGCCTATTATAGAGCAATATTACACAAAAGCAAAACTGATTTTTACTATGAAAAATAGTCAGAAATATGTAATTGTTCATATCTTTAAGAAAAATCATTGTAATGTGTTACATTATTATCATTATTATTAAAATTATTTTCAGTATTATTTGTATGTATTGTATATAATTAACAGCTTAAAACCCCATGCTTATTATATCCTAAGGTTTAGAATACAAACATTGGGAATATCTTTTCAGAATACAGAAATAAAGTATCTGTCTTCAATCTGAGTTGTATCTGATAAACGCAGTATTCAGAATACAGTTACCTTTTAATTATGAGAGAATCCTTTTAGAAAACTTATCCACTAATTCTAAAAAATATGTACCATCTTTTAACCCTTTAAAATCCCAGGCTAATTACATACTAAGGCTTATCATTCAGTAACTACAGGGACTTTAATGCAAACAATGAAACAATTCTTAGATTATAGAATTGTGTAATAAAACTTTGGTTAAAAGAAATACTATCAATGCTTGTTATTAACTATTTTAAAATCAGCACAGTTGTATTCTAGAGAAGAACTCAAAAAATGGCTTCTTTACAAATAGGTCCTACTAAAGACTGATAAATCAGTGTGATGAGCGAGTTAGTAATCTGAGCTCAGCTGAACCTGAGAAGACTGTTAGTTGGGTTATTATGGCATTGTCTGTTTGACTGCCCTGTCCCATTCTACTGCTACTGTATTATAGTGCTTCGTAAACTTCTTGCTAGTTCTTTCCAGAAATTCTATGAGCTAAATGAGG